TCTCCCACCAGTAAAGCAGCTAGTTTCCCCACAGCCACTTAGCATCTAGCTGAGGAGGTAGACTATTGGTGTCGTTTCAGTGGCACTCATGTGGATAGACTTGTCTGCATGGTGATAGGGGAATTGTTCTGAGCAATTGTATGTGATTAAGGGATTATTGGTGGTAAACCATTATGCGGGCTAGTGTTTGGTGTAATGAGTGGTTTGTCTGTTTTACTCAGTTTAAGGATTACATGCAAAGTGAGGGCACTGAGGAAATGAGACCTGTCTCAGCTGACAATGAATTTAAGATTTCTAGAGGATTTTGCTCAATATTAAATGTTGTTTCATGTAGTCAGTTTGTGTCACTGTAGTTTCAGTGAACAGAATTGATCTGTATTTGAAAGATGAAATTTGTCTTCCTACTATAAACTCTGCAGGGCTGAAATCATTGATATCAGGATCAGCTTTATTGGCCAGGGGTGTTGAACACATGAGGAATCTGACTCTGGTATAGTGGCTCTCAGTGTGCATGTACAATGTTCTTCAATAAGGCAACAAGTAAACAAGATAAGACTGAGAACAAGAAAAGAAAATGTGCAAACAAAAAGGAAAGTGCATTGGGAAAATAAAAATAAAGTCCTTAAAATATAGCACATAGTTTAGATGGAAGTTTACTGGGCTACTGTAAAAAACATGATGGCTCAACATGGTGGCCTCCATGAAAGGGGACCCACTCCTATGTCGATATTAAAGGCTCATTCTAAGCTAAAGAAAATCCAACAATTCTTTTCTGGTGATTACACATTGGTGAAAACATAATTATGCATACTTTAGTCCATTTCTGCTACTAAATCCTTCTAAATATTACACGCGGCGCTTTTAAGAGTATACAGACATTTGTGTATGTGAAACATTTCCTTTTGTTTTCAGGATGTTGCGATACGCTGTGGTCCGGGGCGGCCTCGGACTGTTGAATGTGAGGAGGGCGTGCCTTTTCTCCCGCTCTGCCCACTCGGCGCCGCAGAACGAGTATCGACCAATCAAAAAAGTCATGGTGGCTAATAGAGGTAAGACCCTTCTCCCTCATTCTGCAGCCTAGGAGTACTAATTCACCAGTGAAGAGGGCAAGCAACTCAGATAGTCCTGTTACATTAAATACAGTTTAGTGCTGTTTTATGCATAATAAAATAAAAAGTTGACATTTACTGTCTTCCTGAGGCAAAAGAACGACACCCAGACTCTCTTAATTTTTAATGGCCAGTATTTAGCTTGCCATGGCACATTCTTGTATTTGGGATCATGTTTCAATGTGGGTAGCTGCACCAACTAGCTTGGTTTGCTTCAGCCCAAAAGCAATATCTGAAATTATTGCAAACAAAGGTGGATCTGCTACCAGAGAAGATTAATATTTTTTTGTCCACAAAACAAATTGAAACCACCAGTAGGCAAAGAAAGTCTGTATCAATTCCTTTCTAAGTGGCTAGAAATCACCATGTGGGGCCTGGATGGAAATAAAATTAAAGCCCAGACTTGTCTAAACACTAAGCAGTCACCAGTGTGATTGTTGCATGTGGTGTAAACATCACTGACGTGCTCTGTTAATCCTTAAAATCTCCAGCCGCCCCC